AAGCGGTTGTAATGTAGAATTTAATTCATTAACAGTACTATTGAAATATCTAGATTTGTAGGGAGTGTCAGTTGCTACTTCTGACTTGAAAACATTATCGAACTCGATTTTCTTTTTTTTTTTCGTTGGCTGTTCAGCAGTAGTAGCGTTACTTTTATCAGGAGTTGCCTCTACGAGTTTCTTCAATGGATCAACCATAGGTTTAAAAGTTTCATGCAATGTCTTTTCTAAATCATCTTTACCGCATTTTATTAGTTGATACTTGCGTCTTATATCATCACGAGCTATGGATAATTGCTCGAGCACCTTCTTTTCTCTTTCAAAGTCAGCCATGTTTACGCTTCTAATTTCTGAAATTAAATAATCTTCATCCACTCACTCATCTATATTTATAGCAAAAGAATCAAATCTCTTTCTATATCGTTCATGATTTATTGGTCTGTCTCTGTCGATAACCAAAAACCCATGATTATCGTCTCTCCAACATTTTGAAAAGAGATAAGACAATTAAATATTAATAAAAAATATAAATTGTGCAACGGTGGTCGATTCAATTAATCGAACCGTTCACGATTCTGAGTTTCGCGCGTTAGTTCTAAGTATTGAGAAAGGGAGGGGACGCGCGATCTTTTAAATTAGCAGTTACATCTCAGCTGTTACGTGTGTAGTACCGCCAAAATAGTTTAGCACAGTGTTACAACGATTTGCCAATAAAAAAGTTTTCTGGGATTTTGGATACTTGTGCAAGGGTGAGCGAGGAAGCAGCAACAGTAGCAGCATCACGGAAGCAGCAGCAAAAGTGACAGCTATTAAACAGCAGATTTGCGATCGAGGCAGCACAGCTGATTTGGATCGGAGGAGCAGCTTTAATTTGCTTCAACAATTACGGCTGATCACCGTAATTGCACCGAAGGGTACCTACCTGCACCTGCACCGCCCTTAATTATCGCGTGACAAAATATATTTGCTATTTTGTCCAACAGTGTTAGCGTTAATTTTTTGTATTCGCGTCGAGCGTTAGATCGCGCCAATATTCGTATCTTCTCTCTCTCTCTTTCTCACCGAAAGTTATTTAATTGTAAATCCTATTCGCGTGCGTCAGTCTTTCGGCCCGACAAAGACTGTAGAGATTTTTATTAATAAAATCTATTAAACTTATTCGCCGATTTCGTCATATGATTTTTCCTAGTAGTTTAAACAATTGAAAAAAGGCTTAGGTTTTAATCCGATTATAGCTAGGGGATCAAGTGTATTAGAAGCAAAGTCGATTACACTTAAAACTCATCGAGTATCACAAGGCACGTGACTTAAGGTGAGTTCAACTCTGCTTGATCGAAGACAACTAAGTTAAGTCAGCTGACGTTAAGGCGAATACACGTATTAACATACGTGTTAACGGAGCGGCGGTTTGCTCTGCATCGTGGGAGTTTGCTCTTAAATAAATTTCTCATTTTGCAGATTTATCCCCCCGTTACAATTGATATAATTTTATAATAATACTTACTTGTTGAACAGTAGCTTTTATCTCTCGGATTTGCAGTCCTTGAGAACTGCTCTCCTCCACAAATCGTTGCAACTGAAAAATAAATGATAATAAATAAATAAGTAAATAAATAAATAAATATATGACAAAAAAAATTTTTACAGTTATTAATATTAGAATTAAGAGCCGATATAACGGCTCTTTTGCTACGTTCTGTGCGGTAGGAATAGACAGCTGAAATTGAATAATATTATTATTAAAAAAATTCTGAAAGTTATTTTAATTATTTTGAAATTATTTAAAATTATACTTACAGTTTCTAAAAACTCACACGCTTTGATAATGTTTTCCATAGTTTTGTTTTTTTCTTTTTTATTAATAAACTTTATAAAAAATATAAAAACTTACTAATATTTAAATAATCAGCACTTCTCTGTGAACAGCTCGAAGTTTCCTTTAAGACTGACCAACGAAAATCCTACTGAACACTCACACTATTATCAGGTACGAATTTTCTACAATGTATGTAACGCTACACACAAACGTAGACATTCTTTGAGTGAGATAGGACGTTTGGTGTACCCTTTTCCTCTCCATGTAGGCTAGAAAGTTTGTCACTTTCTAAAAACTCTATAAATCTTGACGTCCCGGTGACTTTATGGTCATCCGCAAAAAAATACATTAAACGCAGATGGTCACGCGTCCGCGCTAATGAGTTTGTTTGACCATCCTTAAACCGTCTATGATCTTCATTTGCGATAGTCATAGGCAACATAGAGGGAAGGTAGTAACCATAGATGCTCTCTCTTTCTGAAAGTAGTGGAGAAGCTTGATCACTCTCAAACCAGCTGTGATCTACATTTATGATAGACATAATCAACTTAAGATAATAGGGTAGTTAGCAAGCATAGCTGATCATGCGTTCCCCTCCTCCTCGCACTGTGGTCCACGCTGAGTCAGAGCTAGAGAGAACATACGTTTACTATTATAGTAGCGCATCCCCATCAGGCCAGAACTATAGACAGCATGCGCTCCCCTCCTCCTCCGCACGCTCAGGACCTATACCAAATGTATGCGTGTGTAGCTAATATACACAATATACATCCTCTAAGGTACATGTGGCATTGGCGTTAGATGTGTTAGAACGCTAGCCTGCCAACCCAGAGGACTCCGGTTCGATTTTCCGGTCTGTCTCTTAATTTTTTTCAAAAAATCTTCGCTATTTTCTATTCGTTTCATTCTCAATGTAGCAAGTAAATTGTCAATAATATATATTTATACCTTTAAAAAAAAAAACATTTAAATTTAATTAGACTGAAAGCACTAGGTATAGGGTCCCTAGGGACTAGGAGCCCTAGGGACTAGGAGCTCTAGAAACCTTCCTCAAAAAATTATAAACAATTATTAATATTAATAATAATTAACATGGAAGGGTTAGGCCAGGGAATCAAAGGGTTAAACCAGCGACCCCCACGAATATTGTTAATAATAATTGTTAACAATAATAATTATTATTAACATGAAAGGGTTAAGCCAGGGGGCCAAAGGGTTTAGCCCGGTGGGGCCAAAAGGTTACAGACCCCCCGCAGGTGTGCTGGAACATACATTGCTATACTACTTATCTAAAGTACCATTTTTTTCTAACTTTGTTGTTAATTATTTTTAATTAATATGCGTGAAAAGCTTTTTAACAAAATCTTATTTACAACTAATTACAAATACATGTTCTTAAAATTAAATCAAGTATGTATTAATATTATGTATTATAAATTTCATTTATAAAATTTCTATTATTTTATTTGTCTATTGCAATTTTTATCAACTTGCAATTCAACATCTATTAGGCTTTAACATATATTTCAACTCATAATTAATTTAAACATTTTATCTTTAATTATTTCTATTTATTAATTAAATATCTTGTGAATTTTTAATTATATTATTGTTTAATCATTCGACTATATTTAATTTAATTTTACTCACCAATTGATAACAATATTTTCAAGATTATTCTTAATCATTCAGCAAAAATAAATTTTTAAACTTAAAAGCTTCAAAATATTTAGTTAATTTACGCTTAACCTGAGCTTTTGATTGAGAACGTTTCAGGGATTTCATAAAGTCTTAATTCTTTCACATAAAATGGATTTCCATTTCTATATATTTTAACATTTATTATTATATTTCATTCCCATGTTAAGTTTCTTAGTTTTATGACTTTACCTCCCTTTATCTTTGCCATGTGTTAGCCTAGCCCGGCTGGCTGTGCCCTATTTAAGCGTGAGTATGAAAAAGAAAGAAATAATCGGTCATTTTTGAGAAAAATTAGTTGTAAATATTTTTTATACATAGAGTTTCCTTTACTCGTACTTTCTAATTAAAACCGACAAATTTTTTCAAACGTTTTCTAATTCATGACTAGTAAGGTTTCTAAAATAGAATATTATTATTATTAAGCTTACTTATTAAAATACACTCAACAATACGATGTATTATTGATTCAACTTCTTGCTATGATTCACTGTTTACTCTATATTACAATTATTTATGTATAAAAAACATTTATGATTTACATATTACATATAAAAAACTTGATTAGTTACATATAAAAAACTTTTGTAAGTTTATTTTCGTTTATCTAGTTCAGATAGGACAATAAATAAATCGTCAATATAATGAAACTTTTTTAATCTACATATACATAATAAATATATACAAGTACTCCAATGTTGGAGAATCAAATGAAATAAATAATTGAAAGATTGCCATAGTTAATATATTTATATTTAAGTACGGTTGTGATACTATCTTCCCAATAAGGCGATAGATTTAATTACTTTTGACGATATATATAGATACACTAATCTGTTTTTACCTAATCTTTGATTACTCTTGTGTAAAAGAATCATGTGTATGACAGATTGCTACATGCAGATTTTTCCAATGTACTACATGACCGATACAAGTTAAGCTTTATACTCCAATAGATTATATATAAAGTCTGTCAGTTTTAATTTTAGGTCTGTCAAAATAAATCTTACAATATGAATATCTTTACTTCTAAGAAGGATCGAGTATTAGCTTATAATTTTATTAAATCAATCTAAGAAGTTTAATGGTTTTTTCAAGTTATGAAGTGTATTTGTAAATAGCAATAACGCTTCTGCTAATGAATGTATAGTCTCGAACTGACAATTATCTATAAATAAATATAAGAGAGACCGTTAATTGAATATAATATTATATTGGTTTTTTCATAGATTTAAATCGACGTTCATAAAAACACACTCAATCAACAAAATTAATTTTTTAAATCGTGTATCGTTGAATATTAAATATTTTTCATCAAAAATACGAAATCTAATTCTTATTCTCATAGTTGATAAATGTTATCAGTAACATATTGATGTCAGTTTTTATAGATGATAAGAGTTTCAAGATAATGCTTCCGACTAGATCTAAAGTAATCTGAAAATATCGTCATGTTAGTTTCATGTGAGCAACCATCATAATTTATTCCAGACAATAATAATATAAAGAATAATATTATTTAATTACAATAATACATATTTGGAATAATAAGACAGATTTTTTACAGCGAAACATCACGGCTAATTAATATTATTTTATAACTGAATATTGTAGTATCAAGGTAAATAATTTATACATACTATGGTAATATAAATAACATATTTAGAAAAAAATATTCGTTTTTCACCTTATTTCATCTATTAAAAATGTAGCTAAAAGAATATCTTGAGATTATTCTTCTTTGTTACAAACTAAATACGCACACACACATACACACGCGCTCACACTTTCTCTCACACACACACACACACACACACACACACACACACACACACAAATCAGAGTACAAAAAAATTAAACGATAACTAAAACATTCTAAGTAATTAAATTTCATTCATTTTTAAGGGGTAAATTACGCCATATCAAGTTAACAACTTACAATTTTGCAAAGAATTAGAAAACGATCGTTATAATATTATCGAACATATACATTCATATATTTATTCACATACTTACATATATAGATAATTTTACGTTATTAATCTAATTTTTTTAATTAGAAAAAATATTTGATTAAATCTTCCGTGTTTGTCCCTATTTTTTAGAAACGTTTTATTTTTGCACTTTTGTCTTTCGAAAACCATGACAATTTGATTGAAAATTATACACATGTACATACACTGCCCATTTATTACTTTTGTCATACCTACACCAAAATCAGACAAAGTTCGAATTTTTGTATCTCAGTCGGAAATCATCGTATCAAAAAAAAAATCGAAGTGCGTTTTGAAGGTTATTGTAATAAATTTGATTTCACATGTAACGAAAGTTAAAAAAAATAAAAAACTGTCTTTTTTACGATAAAAAACAGATTAAAAAATGTTCGATTTCTTTCATCTCGATTTAAATCAATGTCAGTTTAGAACTAGTAATATGAGCACAAATATATGAACAGAGTCAAAAACTAGTCTTTCCCCTTTACGATGAATAATCGCGCATTTTTGTGCGAACTTTTTTACTGGAGTTAAAGTCACTTTTGTAAAAAAGACGCGTTTTTTAAATCTATCATAACCTCAAATTCTATTGGTTTTAAGAAAAAATGTCATTGAAAAAAAAGTTTGAGGGAAAGGGCAAAGTTGAAAAGATAGTGAAAAGAACCCCGTATAAAATTAATGGGAAATTGGTCCCAGTCGTATAAGCTGAAAATGCGGTATGTTGTAGTTTTCTACTTTCTTATCAAAAGTTCTCATGGGCCCGAAGTAAAGCTACGAATAGTTTCAGAGATATTTAGGGATGAAGTTTGAGATATTAGCTGTCGGCCAGATTAGGCTTTGTTAAGTTTCTAGTAGTTTGTTTTGTAAACTGAGGTTTTGTAATAAACTTAATCAGTAGATACATACGAGGTCCGTCCGGAAAGTATCAGGCCTACGTTTATATCTTCGCGCCATAGTGTTTGAGCGACCTCTATCTGACAGAAACGTCAACAGTAAAGCCTCACGAATCTATTGGTTACTTACTGTCACCTGCCGGACGTATAGTTCATACGCAGCGTGTCTTTGTTTACAGTGCCTTTTTCGCGTTCATCGGATTTTGATATTGTCCAAAATGACTGAAAAACAAGATCAACGAATTTGCATCAAATTTTGATTTCAACTCGGAAAAACGATTTCGGAAACTATTGAAATGATGCAAAAGACCTTCGGAAGCGAGTGTATGAGCAAAACACGAATAAAAGAGTGGTATAAACGGTTCAAGGATGGTCACACTGCTGTCGATAGTGATTCTCATTCCGGCCGACCTTCGACGACAAAAACCGCAGATACTATTGAGCAGGTGCAACTTGCAATCGAACAAGATCGTCGTATGACTGTGCGGGAACTAGAAGAAAACCTTGGGATACCAAAAACTATCATTTCAGAAATTTTAACCAAAAATTTAGGAATGAAACGCGTGTGTGCGAAATTCATCCCAAAATTGCTCACAGTAGAGCAGAAGAACATTCGCTTAGAAATCGCTCTGGACAATCTGGAAATGGTCAATAATGATGATAATGTGCTTAGAAAAGTTATTACAGGTGATGAATCATGGGTTTATGGTTATGATGTTGAAACAAAACAACAATCTTCACAGTGGAAGCATTCTGAATAGTAGATAAGCAATGTATGTTCTGGGACACAAAGGAGCCGACAAAGGATGCCGCCAATGTATAAGGATACGTGTATGTTCTGGGACACAAAGGAGCCGCCCGATGAAGGTGTGAAGGTAGTGACACCTTTTAATTAATGGTCAGACCCCATGGTGAGTGCCTAAAAGGGATTTGATGTACCTTTGACACCTTCCGCGTGCCAGTGGGCCCCATGCTGAGTGTTAAGGGGCATTTGATGTTGGTTTGACACCTTGCGCGCGCCGCCAATGTATAAGGATACGTGTATGTTCTGGGACAGAAAGGAGCCGCCCGATGAAGGTGTGAAGGTAGTGACACCTTTTAATCGCGATAAGGTGAGACCCCATGTCGAGTGTTGCATTTGATGTTCGTTCGACACCTCCCACGTGCCAGAGGGCCCTTCGAGGGGGCCAGTCCCCCCCCCCCCCGATAGTAGGACGCTTCACCCACCCACCCACCAACCCACCCACAGAGGTTGTTAAGGTAGGATGCTGTAGAAGTCGGTAGGGTGTTTGGTAAACTATATGCTTATGCTGGCTGAGTGAAGGACCCTCGGAGAGGGGGTAGCGTCTCTAGCTTGCTAGACGCGTACGCCGTATAGTGAGGATGCTGTTTTCACTCTCTCTCTCTCTCTCTCTCTATCCCTCTCTCTCGCTCTCCTTCGATAGCAGGGCGCTTCACCCACCCGCCCACCCACCCACAGAGGTTGTTAAGGTAGGATGCTGTAGAAGTCGGTAGGGTGTTTAGTAAACTATATGCTTATGCTGGCTGAGTGAAGGACCCTCGGAGAGGGGGTAGCGTCTCTAGCTTGCTAGGCGCGTACGCCGTATAGTGAGGATGCTGTTTTCACTCTCTCTCTCTCTCTCTCTCTATCCCTCTCTCTCTCGCTCTCCTTCGATAGTAGGGCGCTATGGGGCCCCTTCGACAGAGTGAGACCCCATGCTGAGTGTCTAAAAGGCATTTGATGTACCTTTGACTTCACCCACTCTCCCACCCACCTACAGAGGTTGTTAAGGTAGGTTGCTGTAGAAGTCGTTGCTAAGAGTCTAAAGCATAACCGATGTTCCTTTTTTAAATGAAGATGCGTTCTAGCAGCGTGCACTATCCTTTTTCAGGGCCACACATATAATTTAGGAAACTTTCGACCACCCACACCAGCTTGCACTTTCTCCAATAACGCTTTACCTCATGCTGAGGGTTAAAACGCATTCGATGTTCCTTTTTCAATGAAGATGCGTTCGAAAGTATGTAAACAGCAGGTGATTGGAGATAGAGTAATCTTAATGATGAATTTTCTGTTAGTCATTTTACTGCTTTTTTGCCTTAGAGATAAGGTTTTTGAGTTAGCCTTGTTTAGTTGCGTTAACATCCTCCAACATGCTGAGCGTCTAAAGCGAAATCAATGTTCTTCTTCCTTTAAAGATTTTTATCAATTTGACTAGAGTTTCTTTTGGAGAGTAGGAATCATCCTGATTTTTTCGAAAATCTTTTCCGGAGTCAATCGTTCGGTAGTGCTCAAGAAGTATACATCGACGAAGCATTTAATATTTTTAGTAACTATTCTTTGCTTTTTATAAAAAATTAAAATGGATAGTGTACAAATAATAAGTACAATAAATGCCATGATTATTTTCATGGTTAATGTAAGTATTTTTATCTATATATTCTATTAATTATTTAAGACAGTTTTTATAATAAATTTTTTATTTTTTCAGACTCCTCCGATGCTGCTAGCTAGTTTACCAACTAGCATATTTTATTGCTTAATTATTGCCATTTTAAGAGTGGTAAGTATTTTTTATATAATATTAAATATATTTATTTTTAATCTTTTTATTTTTGCTTTTCCGCTAAATGTAATCGTGACGGTGCCGTCGCATAGGCGACATATTCAACAGATATTAACAGTAGTCATAAAGGTATGTATATAAATAATTATATTTAAATAAGTATTTTTAAATAAGTATATATATATATATATATATTGTTTTCTTAGTTACAGAGCGATGTTCAGAGAATAGAAAGGGCTGCAGTCGAGAGAGCTGTGGCTGAAAGAGCTGCGGCCGAAAGAGCTGCAGCCGAAAGAGCTGCAGCCGAAAAAGCTGCAGCCGAAAAAGCTGCAGCCGAAAAAGCTGCAGCCGAAAAAGCTGCAGCCGAAAAAGCTGCAACTGAAAGGGCCGCAAGCGAGAGGGCCGCTGAGCTCGAAAGGGCCGCGGCTGAAAGAACAGCAAAGGCTGCAAAGTATGCAGCTGAAAGGGCTGAAAGGGCTGCTAAAGCTGCGGCTGAGAAGACGGCGAGGGCTGCATAGTCTGCAGCCGAAAAGGCTGCGAGGGCTGCGAACGAAACGACAGCCGTAAAAGCAGCCAAGAAAAGATGTCTAAACGCTGTTCCGTTAGCAGCGTTTACATCTCTTCCGCCAAAGAAGAAATTTCTGAAGGTAAGATTATTTATTATAGATAAATACATTTTTTTATTTAATAACTAAATTTTTTTTAAAATAAATATTATTTTTTAGATGAATGTTGCTACTGATGCTGTGGATCGAAATGAACCATCGAGATGTCCCATGAGTAGCATTGAAAATGCCCTTCCACCGGCAGTCATCGCTACCAGCAGTAGCAGCAGCAGCAGCAGCAGCAACAGTATAATTTCACCTACCACGAGCAAGCAGAAAGTGGTACCTAACGTAAAATGTATCAAAATAATCGAGGACCCTAGTGTATTTTCCTGTTTTAGCAGGAAACCAACACGACCTACCAAACCATGTGGTAGGAAAAATAATTGAAAATTAAAAAATTTTTTGTAATCTAATTAAATTTAATGTAATAAAATTAAATAAATTGATTTAAATTTAAAAAAAATATCTCTCTCTCTTTCTCTCTCTCTCTCTCCCTTCCTCTCTCACTCTCCTTCAACGGTAAACATGCTGACTAGATGCATGTCCTAGGAGAGGGGGT